CTTGACATAATCAATGAAGAAAAGAGCGACGTTTTATAAATGATAATGATGATTGGAAAGACGTAATTTTTTGCATTTTCAAGTGCTTTTTTTGGTTCTACAATGAATTTTTAGATACCATGTTTTTAAGCGAAATTTTGCTGAAATGGTGGCAATCTGCCAACGTCGCAAGTAAGATAAAACAATTTAAGGTGCATATGCAGCGTTTCAATCTGCATTCCATGAGCTAATGAAAAATGGGTAGTTATATTTAAAATAAATACACTTTGATCTTGCCTGGCCTTTCTGAGATAATCCGTATCATATGAAATATTTTAAAATGTGCGCACTTAGTGCGTCAACAACTTTTATATGAAACTATTTTTCGAAAGTTCAACACCAACGGAAATAATGGACTCTCTGGCACTAAAAAAGCCACCCTGTATGTAGCTTACCAGCTTCATGAGGAACTGAATAAACATAGGCGCCAGCATCTACGTATGAATGTTCTACAGCTCTTTTGTACCAAACTTCATCAATTGCCCTATTGTGTACGTGATGGAAATGTCTATGGGACATAAGATAAGATTATTGATGTCAACCATTAAATATTTTCGTCTATTTGGATCACAGGTTTTTCTTTGCGAACCAAGAGCATAAATGCTACGAAGCAATACGCAGCAATTAATATCTACAGTACTTTTGCTAGAAATTGATCGGTTAATTACTTGTGTATAGTTATACCAAAGTGAGATTAAAATGACATCAAGATGAAAATTAAATTCTGCCCGATACGAAAAGGTCGTTTTATAAACGTGCTTAGATAATTTTACTGTTTTGCTGCTTTATTATGATAACTTATACATTGTAAATGGAAATTTGGTTCACATATATTATATGTTTAATTGTACATACATACCTATTTGTTAAGTGACAAGAAAATTACTCGCTTGGACTCAATTTACATGTTCGAAACCTTGGGAAAATATTTGAAAATTTTTGGAAATCATTTAACATTATCTAAGTCATGCGTATTTTGTGGGGATGTGGTATTTTTTATTTTATATAAAACATTTCAGAAATAACGACAAACGTTTTGAAAGATTTCTTGTTTTTCCATTCATTTCCATTCATTCATTTCCATTTATGTTGTGTTATTGTAAAAATAAAAGGAATTCAAAAATTCTGAAAAAATTCAAACCCATAGGAAACTTGTAAAGTGAAAGCCAGTAGAAAATAAACTAAAATATAATATTTTTGCAATATGGTTTGATGCGCCACAATCCACATTTTGAATTATTTATTTTAAAATCTTATTAATTCTATTACAATGTTGATAAGTTTTTATTCTACCGGAGTGCTTTGCAACAAGCATTATCTGATCACAAAAATGGGACTATTAGTAACTGGAACATGTAGTTTTGAACATCTGTATATTTGCTGTTTCTAATTAATGCCAATCAGTTTTAAACAAATAATTTCATAATTTATTTAACGAATACTCACGTAGGTTCACGGTTCACACAAGATTAGACATTTTTAAAAAGTTGTGCTTTTATAAAATTGTCCAGTATAATATACGTTTTTATATATCTTGAGCCAGGAATATCATGAGCATGGAGCAGGTAAAACGAAGCTATCTATTTCAAAGACTTAGTTATATCAATAAACATTTCTATTTTCAGAACCTTTTGGAGACTAGAACTGAATAAAAGCGACTCATGTTATTCATTTGAATATTTTCCGTAATAAGCACAATTCTTCGGATGCACGAAATTCTTATAAGGACTCGAAACATGCTCGAAGGCATAATATGTCACATTCTTTAATAATTCTATAAACCTGCTGCATTCTTTACGGATTTACTCATTACTGAAATTTGCTAGTTTAGAAGTTATTACTCTCATTCAATCGAATTCGTTATATCATTGTGAAGATTTTCTTCTTCGTCAAATAGTCTCCAGAATATCATTGAAAAAAATACTTTGGATAAATATTCAAATAGTTATTAAAAATATCACTACTATGATCACTACAAGTATTTTACGGTCATAATTTATAGGTAAACGTAATTCTTTCATATAAACTTGTATTCAAAAATTCCCCAAACTACACACATAGAAATTTGTATCAGAAAATTGTTTTTTAGAAGTTATTTAGTTTTTTAGAAGTTATAGAAAATTGCTTTTTAGAAACTAAGGGAAAGCTAAATGTTCAAATGAATAATTGAGGGCAAGGCTGAGGATGATGGTGTCAGAATAAAAAAAATAGTCTTCAGAAATTTTAAATTATCGTTTTTATAAAGAAAATTATTTGATTCAACAGTTAGCATAATAATAATAATATTGAAATGCATTCAATTAATCAAAACTATCGTTTTTTTATTAAACATCAAATGCACTTGATAAAAAAAATATCAAATAATTATAATAAAATATCAGATTAAGGAGCACACGGTTGGTTATAACAGAAAAGCTCAAGATATCAGACTAGACTACAATATTTTCTTGATTTAATAGTCAACATTGTGCATGTGAATTTTAAAATATCTCCCGCAAGTAACATTTTTTACCATCGCAGAGATTGACTTCTCTAAAGAGCTCCAAAAATAAAATTTATCTGCTTTTAGGAAAGGAAATTCAAAAAAAGAGGAGCAAATTTTTATGAAATTTGATGCATATCTAGAGTTCCAAGTTAATAAACTGTGTTTTTTCTTGTTTCTCGTTTCAAATGTAAAACTTTTGAGCCGCATAAAAAAGTACACCTTTAAAACATTGCCGTATTTGTGTTTGTTGATCAAGCAATTTAAAAAAATGATATATTTGTCTTCAAAAACTGAAGAAATACTCCAAGGCCTCACAAACAGGTGGACTAAAATATGTCTTTAATGACCAAGTTTCCAGAAGAATTATGATATAATTTCTGGATCGGTTTAAAAGTACATTTACCAAAAATGGATATTTCATACTTTGTCAGTTTTAGCTGTAAGCCCACTATTTGTACTGATTTTTTCATCATTCTGTAGAACCTTGCCAAGCATACAGCTACAGTTAATTTTCCTTACCGTAAAGCGTGCCATCGATGTGTGCTAAATTGATTTTAAACTCACTTTGGAAGAACTCTACAATAATTTTGGTATAGTTTTGTAGCAACGATTTAATATTTTTGCCGTTCTTTCATCTTTTATTTATTCGCAAAATGCAGTATAGAAATTACGTGCAATTGAGTCGTAGTTTGTACCTTTCATAGATAGTGTTGTCTATGTTTTGCGGAAAAGTTTGCCATCTGGTAAGTCCACTGTGGGTAGCCATAAAAGCTACCACTATTCCATATTGTTTTATTAATTGAGCTCTGCGTGAAAATAATGCAAAATATTATTAGTGTTTTCATAAAATCGTAGGTAATTTATTACATAAATTTATAAATTAATTTTAAATAATCCCTTTTGTCTAAAATCCATTTTGTCTAAAATACTTGACGTCTAAAAAAAAGTAATTTGAAACAATTAAGTTTTTCAAAAAGTACACACACTTTTATTATTTTTTTTTAATTTTATGAAAGAATTTGTATTTATACAGGATGCCCCAAAAAAGTTATATCAATGCCAACTTTTTAAAATAGAAACCTCTCTTTTTTGTAATTTTATTCAGTTCTCTGGAGAACTTAATCATTTTTTATGTGGGTTTCCGGGAAATTGGCGTCTGAAAATCGTACGAAAAATTGCCACCCAAATTTATAAACTAATTAAAATTAAGGCTGACAGAGTTAAATTAGCGCCAAAATTGACAGCCATTGGTTTCTTCGCAATGCCCAAGCTTACGTACAACCTAATCTTGAACATTATTAACTACGTTTCCACTAATATTATCGTAATTTTCTGCCTAATTTTGGTTTGTGAGCTTTCAATGTTTCCAGCCGATTTACATAAACCTTGAAGTTTAAATAATCCCAGAAAAAGTTAGCCAAAGGTGCGCTCATGAGACTTCGGATGTCACTCTATTGGCTTTTTGTCGCCAAATGCTGCATAAAAAATTATTAGAATTTTGTGGACAACTGGATAATGACGTACAAGAGGGGTTTCTCTTTTAAAAACTGGCTCTGGTTATATCATCACTTTTTTATGACACCCTCTATAAATACAAACTAGTTCAGAAAATGCGCAATTTGAAACAAAAATTCACGGGTTCGAGCAATTTTTCGAAAAATAGACACCTTGTTTTTAAATAATAACATTGCCGCTGGCTGTATGAGTAGGTAATTACTTTAAAAAAATTATATAACTATTAATATTCTCTCGAAGAATTTAAAGAAACCTCTTGTATATATTTCGTTAAAGGTTTTATGCAGTGTGATCGTAAAGTATGGAAGAAATTAATTAAAGCCTATACAGATGAAGTTAAAAAAAATGATCGGACACTTCAAGCTTAATTTGTTAATACGTAACTTCCGAGAAAGTTATTTCTCATGCAGTAATTAATGTGTTTACAAATGACGTCGTACTTCGATTTTTTTATAATCGCAACCTGAGTATTTTAGGCTGCTATTTGAAAGGTCGAGCTGGATGTAGGACGATTAATGCTCTCATATGTCACATAACAATTTCAAATAGCCAAACATATTTCTTGGGTTCTTAAAATTTTCTTTAGAAAGCGATATTTTGCTCGGTTCTTTAATTAGTTAATTGTAGGAAGGGTGAACAAGTTGACTTTGCGTTACAATAATCGTGATAAGTACTAAGTGTAGCAGTTGATAGGCTTTGGTTGCATTTTTATTGCATTTCAAACTAAAATCGTGCGTCAAGTGGAACTCAAAGAAAGAAGAAAAAAAAGAAGTAAATAATATTATCATACTTTGTATATGTGTCCGAGCATTTTTTTCGTTCAACTGTATAGGCTTTATTTAACATTTTCCACACTTTAGGTTCACACTGTATTATTTATTTGCCGTGCGCAATGCATTGCTGGACAATTACACTTCAAGCGATCGATTTATTTTTCGTCAACACATTTGTAAACATTTAGAATAATCCCAACATATCTACGCACTGGTGGGGAGAGAGCGGGTTTAAAACCGCATAAAAAACAGTTTTTTTGCTTTCTTTCTGTAAATTGATCTAGAAATGACTGGTTAATCGCTGTTCGGAATTGCAGATTAACGTGTGCAATACAGTACATTGCAAGGTGTTTTTCTGTGAAGATTTTCAAAAATTAGTGCTATTTGTTTAGAAGAGTATGGAATATTTTGAGAAGAGTTTGGATTGGTGAACTACAGCTCTTGAAGTTTCTCCTGTAACAGAAGGTAAGTCGTTGTGCTTTATTTTTGGAAATCTAATTGTTCGGAGTGCGGATTTTACTTCGCATTGTTTCAGTCGATGAACTAAAATATTATACAATAAATTAAAATGGCCTATTTATACGTTGATGTCCTATTCCATTGGCAGCATGTAATAAACATTAGTACAAATAATATTCACCATGAATAGTCCTGAAATACAAGATAATAATGTGGGGGAATATTACACAAGTGCGTTTAGTACAAGTATACATGCAGAATTTTCTGATTTTCCTCCCGGAGCTTGTTCGGTTATTATTATATTATTATTATATCGTACTACCTTCATACCTTATACAAATTCGAATTTCTCCTTAATTAATTTGTTTCTGCGGAGCAGTTCAGTTCAATTCTCCAAACGCTAATTTGGCTATACAATGATTCAGTGCGAACTTTTTTTCAATTTCAAAATCATCCTTAGTTTAGAATTTTATTAGATTATTATTTGATTACTCCAATCTGACAAATTGACAATTCTTTAATTTAATAATTGCATGTAAAAGTTGCATATATACATTGAGATATCATATGTATGCTCTCAAACTTTTGTGTGTTTAATGTGGGAATTGTCGAAAGCCTTTGTTGGCGACAATTTTCCGAAATTCGCGTAGGTATGGCCATTTTGATGAAATATTGTAACAGTTTCTTTTCAGCTAAATTTGTGAATCGATGTGATGCTCACCTTTTCTGCATAATCAGATTATTTTAGGTAATTTTAGACAGGAAGAAAAATGTTCGCAAAATAAAAAGTCGCGTTTGTGTAAAGGTATGCACAAAATATTATCATAAACTGTTCTTACCTATAATTACGACACCTTTTTTTAATCAATTTTAATTTTTTGAGTCATTATCATGGCGTAACATTATGCCCAGGCAACATGAATTTCAAAATTCAAAGGACAAGTTTTACGATTCCAAACCCGGCACTTGGTTCCTAATGAATATTGCTCAAAAATTATTATTTTTATCTAGTTTTCATTTATTTTTTATTACTTAAGTATTTTTTTTTAAATAATTAACTGGACTAATGAATAAAAATACTAGTTTACAATTAGTATATGATTTTCAGTCTAATTCCACTTGTTGCAATTAATTCTTTACAAACTTTTAATTTTAAGGATTTTTATGAAGAAAATTTAGGCCCAAAAATTTATTTAAAAAAGCAACAGATTTTTGAATGAATCATAAATAATATTGGCAAAATTTGAATTGTTCGAATCGTCAATAAAACCCAAAGTGCTGCGTTTTAAAATTTGGGCTTAACAATGTTACTAAAGAAATTTTGTTTGTTATAAACATGATCTGTCCGGTAGTTTCTAGGGAAATAATCGAAAAATATAAACCTTTTGTGCGAATTCAACCCAATTTCATATAACATTTTTATATAATATAATAGTTTGTGCTGAAGGGTATCAGGCTAGATATATCAAAATGAGAGGCGATCGTATATACAAGTTCCGCTTGATAGAACTATGATATGTAAGAAATTCCGGGTTTTACTTGGTATTTTATACGCAACTTTTTAAAATTTCTTTTATTTGTGTCAATCCGAGGTGAAGGACTGAAATATGTCCGGATAGTATGCGATGGTTAATTATGGCTATTGAGTTTGTTTCTAAACATGTTGCGTAAAACTTGCTATTTATTATTTTAATTAAAATAGATTTTTCCTCGGAGAATACTGTTCGTATTGTAGGAACTCAAAACAGTTTCCTCGGGGTTATTTTGACAAAGTTTTGTAAAAAACGAAGCAATGAATTGATTTATTTTTATTGCATATCATGATTTAATCCCAAGGTAATCTCATCCTCAAATGCAATAAAAAATCATACGTTTCTTGACATTATCACTGCTTTATACATTTATTCTGGGAACCACCTGAGCAAAACAAGTAATTGATCAAAGAAATTAAATTAGCATTAATGACTAATACAAAAACATTTCTCTGTCTTATCGAGGAATGTTATATACTGTACCTGGATATCAGAGCCATCAATATAGACATAGGTCTTATATAATAAAAACAAGTTATTAGTGCAGTATTAAACAAATATGTGCAAAGATACATGGTTTATGAACTGTCTAGAAACACTAAGTAAATATGAATCATGCCATCTTATTACAAATTCTACAAACTCTTCCACTAAGATATAGACCCTAAAAGTAAACTGCTGTAAGTCGCCCCTTTTCTGAACTTTTTATTACTTGCTACCTATATTTTAATATGAAATATTTTTGTCTTGGGAATTCGTCCTCTCCGTTTCATTTGAATTTTTGGACGCTAAAAATCTTTATTTATAGTTTAATAGGTTTTTAACATGACTGATACCAAGCCCCTTAAAATAGTGCCTAATTCTCATAATTTTGACCATCAAACAATTTTTAAATATTTTTACCATTTCCCTGAAAACCCCTATTATTTTAGATCAATTTTTAATTAAATTAAACCTTGTCGAATGCGAAATGAATAAATGATAATGATGAATATATCAGACCACAAGTAGCCCATGTTAAACACAGTTGTGAAGTTTTTAATTAAAGATCTAAATTATTAATTCTTCAGTTCGCTTCTGATGAGCTTTAATTAAATTAAAGTTTTGTTTTATTAAAAAACTTATTACATATAGAAAACTTTCTATGTGTAATAAGAACCTAACTAGATTTCTTAGTTTAAGCCTCTAGCTATCTAAAAGTAGTTTTCTTGCGTCTTTATCATACAAATTGTTCATATGAATGTGTAAGAGCTGGCCGGTCCCTGGCGAACTCGAACATCAAAATGAGTTTCAAAGACACTATTTGAAGACCAAAATTTCAAAGTAATTTAATTAAAACTGATTTACGGCCGCGTCATTTACGGTCTATACCTGGGTATAGAGTGTTTTTTTTCTGAAAATTTGTTATTTGATTTGAACACCTTGTGTATATAAATAATTTGTGCATAATAGGTGGGAATTTTCAAAGTGCTTGCCATTCATAAAATTTCGTTAATAAAAAATTCCAACAAACTTAAGGTAATTATAGTATTGTTTTTGAAATGCAACGCATGTACTTGAAAAGTTTTACTTTCAGACTGGTTTACGGTTTGAGATCTTGGCTATAACAGTTTCTATATTCGACATTAGTGTTTCTATGGTTCATCTGGTCAAATCAGCAAATAAACAAAAAGTTTAATAAACACTCACCCCTTATCTTCTTTAGTAGTGGTTGTGATGTTTTCACTAAACCACACTGTAGTTTTTGCATCAGCTACCACTTTAGTGATCAACTTACGGTCACCTAAAAGAATTAAATGGTTTCAAAATATTTAATTTCTATAAATCCGAATTGGACAAATAATAGTTAAGAAAAATATATGTGAAACCTGATAAAATTTACAATAGTTCAGTTTTTAACCGTTTTTAATAGTTGAATTTTTAAATTTATTTACTTATGTTTTGTCCCAAATTGGAGCAATAATTTTTATACAATTATATTATTTCTTATATCATGTCAAAAACTTACACTCTCGAGACCATTTCCATCCAGGCCGGTCCATTTTCTTTAGGAAATACAAAAATTCTTCCTCTGCTGTTTCAAAGTAATGCTTGTCATCTAGGTCTTTGCAGTAGTGCCTAAGAAACACTTCTATTAATCAATGAGAAGGTAATATTATATAAAAGCAAAAAAAATCTAAATATATTTCTCTTTATTAATTATTTTATACAAAATGTTTAGAAAGTATCCAGGAAAAGTTAAAATTTATGCAACTGTGGGATAGTAAACGTTTTGGAGAATTTAATTGCAACTAATAAAACTGCTTATTAAAAAGTTTATTATACTGTTTTATGTGGAAAAAAATTACCGAATAAATTATTATGACTAGGTACTGATAAGTTTAAGAACTCTTCAAACACCATAGTCAGATAAAAAATTGAATAAATTTACTTAAATACTGATATTTAACAAAACTTTCCGTGTAAGCTGTGGACAATAAAAATAGACTTTTCAAATAAACAAATTAAATCAAGGCATAAATATAATAATCCACCTAAGTATAATTAATAACGTTTGTGACAAAAATAACAGATATTTTTTGAATTTCCCTTAAAGAAAAAAATTAAGTTTTAACACCCCAAACTAATAATTGACACTAAAACAATGTATATTACAAATGCGATCAAAATTGTTTTCTGATATTACATATAGTAATAAACGATCAGGTTCACCAAGACCAATTAAATAAATAGTCTTTCATAAAATTCTATAAACTTTATTGAAATTCAAATGCATTGAAGTAAATTAAAATAAGATCTAATCTAATAATGGAACCGGAAATATACAAATGCTTAAACATCAATTACATTCAGTTGTAGCTATGAAATAAAATTCAAATGCTATTGATTTGGTTGCTATTCTTCATCATTTCTCATATCATGCGTGTTTATAAGATAAATCATCTATCTACTTGGTTGATTAATTCTTGCAATTTAGCTAGCTACTATTTAGTATTGATATTGAAACTTACCATTCGGGATGGATAGCCCAATTGCCATTAAAAAATTGAGCTAGAGTGTGTGGCCCTTTATCGTTGGACCTTAGCCTGTGAATATCATTTTCTACAGAAGGTAACACCCCATAGAAGCCATATTTATCAGGTAACACAATAACTAAACTAAACGGTGTGTCATTGATTCCTCTGTAGTAATAATAACGGTTACTTATATGGATGCGTTTCTGAAATTATTTTTTCGGAATTAGTTAAAGTAGACGAATGTTTACGAATAATCGTGCCAATTTTTGAACTTACAATGTCATCTAAATGGCTCTTGACCCTCAGCGTTATATTTCCTTTTTTCTGCATAATAATTTTCTTTCGCAAGTCCCGTATTTCTTCATTAAATCTTCTAGGCTCACTGTCGTCATCGAGTATTTCAACCTCCATGAAATCTACCCGATTGTACGCCGGTTTCAATATACCTTGGTACTAGAAATTCACATAAAGAGGGTTTATTTTGGTAAAATCTAATTTAAACTTGCGTAGTTGTAATAATTGAACTCAGACAGTCTGTAACTGTTTCGTTATTTAAAACGACATTATTTTACTATTGTTCATGCGAAATAATATCTACTAAATCTAGATTTTTTGCAGCAAATATCATTAACCATCATTTTTATTGTAAGATTTATAGACTGTTTGGCAGCATCTATGTTCTTATTATATTATATTTCTAAAACTTGTTATACAAATGTACTTTTTCTAATCTAGAGATTAACTTTTCGCATTTAATTCCAAAGTTTGACAAAATAAATCTACTCTAAAGTAGTGCATCCAATACAGCTTTAACCTCACCAAAATGAAGATCAATAATTGCTATTTGAGAAAGAAAATTACAATTTTTGTAGCCAAATAAATTATGATGGTATTCTACAATTTAATGCATAACTGGGTTAATGATCCAAGATATTGGATATAGTTAGAATATAGTCGAAATTTGAGATTTATCTTGGGTACTTCAGTTTTGTTTTCGTTCTCTCACTTTAATTTTTGTATATGCATTTATTGTCTATTTTTTTGGTCAGATTCAATGTGATTCAAATTTTTCATATAAAATTAATTAGTGAACTCATGTCACTTATTTTATTATTTGAATAATATTTTCTTTTGTGGTATTGAATTATTTGCCTTATTGTAGTTTTTTAGGCTGTTTGTTGTTTGAGCGCTTTCATCTGCTGACTTACTTTGCTATTTTTTCTATACTTATATTTTCTTGTATGTTATTACTTACATTATAGGTTTCAACGCGTATAAATACACGCAAAAAAGCAATCTCTCCTTACGCTACTAAAATTGAGGAATTTTCTCAATTGTACAGCAGATACGTAAATAGAATAATGTGTTTATTAGAACTCTGTTTCTTTTACGTACTTTGTGTGTAAAAGATACATTTTCTGGTATTTAAACTTACCACAGGTCTAAGGTCCGGATGAGTCAAAATATAGCCATTATTTGTGACAATAAAACCATAACCGTTTACACCCAACTGAAATAAATTAACATTGATTATAATGAAATTTATCAAATTTAATTAATTTTACAAAAGTTGAAATATGACGAAATTACTTACTCTGTGTGGAAGCATTAATCTTTGTATATATTCTATTGGAACATCAGTACCAGCTACGCCTAATAAATTTGCCACTCTCTCCTAAAAACCATCGAAATAGTCAATTTAACAGATACGATTTTGATTTGCCATAACTTCACGTTCGTTAGGCTCCTGTTAGCTGTTTCGGGTTAGTTATTAAAGGATATTTAAATTTTTTGAAAATTGTGGTTCTGAAAATATTTATTATCTCTTTTATCGGTTTTTTTAATTTTATCTGTATCTAAAATATCTGTAACTCTCAACCGCTGTTTTGTGCGTCATTTTCAAGTTTATATCGACAGTAGCTCAAACAGTTAGCGCCTTTGCAGTGAAAAATGCAAATAGCTGTGGTTTAGTGAAAATTTTCATCAGTTTGGTAATTGAACCTGTAACTAAACCAAAGCTTTCCGATAAAAGCGATTTAGTTTGTCTTAGTAGATTAGATATAGAATAAATTAGATATTACTCAAAATATAGTTGATTTATCGGTTTTGTGAGATGCAAATTATAAATAATTTCATCAACATTGTTGATATTTAGTTTCAATTCTGGAAACGTGTAAATTGAATCCCCTGCTCCGAAGAAGTTTTTTTAAGAAATTATCGTAATATCAGCATTTGGTTGCCCAAATTAACATGCGCAGCGTACACAGAGATGAAATATTTAGTAGTTCACACTTGATCTTAAAAATTGCTAATATATGTAGAATCATTTAAGGATTTGGGTACGAAATATAAAAAATAGTTAATTATATATACACACATATAATAATTTTAAAATGATACAGTTAAGAAATTGGCAATAATTTCATTATATTTAAGTTACATTAATTAGTTGATCTGCCATTTAGTGAAAATAAAGATCACTCTTTAAGTGTGATTTGATTTGAACTTGAGAAGTCAAGAGCTTTAAAGGGACAAGCATTCTCACTTAGTTAAGAAAATTAGAAATAATTTCTATTGAACTTTCGTTAATTGTATTTGCCGCTGCAAAAGTGAATATTTCTGGACATGTTTATCTGCTATATTAAGTTGGGAAATTTTATTAAGACTGAAAAACGAGAAATAAATAAATAATGAATAACCTTTTATTAATATCGGTAAACTGGTGAAAAGCAAGCATATTATTAATTTGTATTGCAGTAAAGATTCAAAATTACTGCCAATAAATCGACAATTCACATATTTGATGTAGCAAAACCTGAAAGTAAATATATATTTTCGATTCTAGTTGCATCATTACTTTGCCATCATTGTGGCAAAAAGTTTCAAATGGTTTATAAAACAATTCGTTTCCTTACGATTTTGGACCGGTTTTTAGAAAATTTTACAAATATTCTGAATATTTGTATGAACTGAATTCAAATATAATAAGCTGTTGGTTGAATATTTTTGTAGATATGTTGCCACTTTCTAGCTAAGTATTTCACTTTAATATTACCATATAAAAAGTATAACTTATCAAAAGTAGAACTGAAAGTGGAAAATTTGGCAAATTTTCTTTTATTTGATTTGAATATCCACACGCCAGATTACCTAACATTATCATTTGACTTTAAGTAAGTTTAAAGTAACAATATTCATTAGTCCTACATTCAGAAAGCACTAAGTTAATTTGGAATAAATTTATGTTACAGTAAAGCAGCACAAACAGCTCTACTTCGCAAGTTTTGTATCCTAATATAATTTACGTATTTCTAAGACATATTGCCAATTAACAAATAGTTCAATCGCCTATTCTAGTTCTAAAAAACTCTATGCTCTACTGGACTCTATTCAGTGGTCTATACCTAAGTGTTTTATCATAAACGGCTAAAAACTCCATAAAAATACTCTACTCTGGACTGGAAAACGGGGCCACTGCTAAATATCACGCTTGCTGGCCTAAAATTCGTCTAGAATCTCTAATAATTAACACTGGCCTAATAGCGATTTTCATAGATTACCTCTCTGGTGACCGTTATCCATACTGCTTCGTTTATTTGCTTTTTTTCGGTTATATTCTGCAGATATATTTGAAGAAATTGTTAACTATAGATAATGCAGAGTAAGGAATTTGCCGTCGTTTTTACTTTTTTTCTATATTGGGCCATTAAAAGAATAAGGTCTTTGGCAAATTCCTTATGACACTTCAAATATTATCTAGTGTAAATTCAAGTAGTCAGTAACTAATTTACCTGACGGGGTTTTTTGTCATATACTGGTAATGACACGGAAGTCATCAGGTTGTAAGTTTGAGTCTCTCCATAATGGTCTTGTTTCTGGAACGGGAATTTATTTACAGTATACTTAAAAAAATTTTTTTTATAATTGTTGATATCGACAAGCATACAAGGAATATGAGAAACATTCTTGAATTAGGTGTCTAGTTCTAGGAGGTCTAGTAAAAGTGCATTGAAGCTTTTTCATGCAAGCTTTGAATATTTAAAAAATTGTTTTTAAATATTCAACAGTACATTTTTATGGCATTTCAATTTTAATAATTTTTATGAATGAGAACTTCAATTCTGGACTCAAAATCACCTACTAACAGTAGCACGATATACAGTAAGGTTGGAACAAATTCACCTAAAATTCAGCGTTTTGTTTTTCTTTGGGGACTTCTACTTGCATTTTTGAAAGATATATTTCTGACGGTTATTTTATTTATACAGATAATTTGATTATACAAAATCATTTGATAAGCTCAATATTTTAGTCAAAATAAATATGATTCTAAGGATAACCGGATTCTTAAGACAAACAATATTTTACCATTAATTTTTATCGGTATAATTTCTAAAAAATTTAATGTAAATTTAGCAACACAGAATTGTGCGTTTATTTACTAATTTTTTTTTGATTATCGGATTTTTGTTTGACAACGATTATTTTAGTCAAAAATAAAATTATTTTACGGTGAAAATGTAAATTAAAAAAAATAGCTATGTAAAAGAGGAGTAATGCATAGAAATATTATAGGAGGACATAACAGTAGAAGTTATTTAGTTAAGTTATTTTGATAATTAGTAAAGTCTTTATCAGCAGAAAAGAAAGTTACAAAGCTAAGAATCTCACAGCTCCCTAAAACACACAAATGAAATATATTGCTTCATTCACAAGAATAGCACGCAGAATCAACTGGACAAGTAATTTTAGGAAAGTTAGTGCGTAAAGCCTCCGCCCAAAAATATTAACAAAAGAACAAATGAGGACCCCGCGAGTAAAATCAGCAAAACTGGAGCAGAGTATTTCCCTTTCGTCCGCGTTTTCCTAATTTATTTAAAAATATTTTAGTTATTTTGGTCACAAATTTAACTTTGAACTGATGAAACAATTTCCAAGCAATTAGCATTTTTTTTTAGTTTATTGACCGAAAAACATGGCATATGTCCGGCCTTGCGTACAATTCTATTGATTAATTTGAAAGTTTGCGTTTTAAAAACAATTTATTTTCAAATTATTACAAACGATAGATTCTAGTTGTAACCGAACCTTAACTAAGACTTATATCTCGTCGACCGCAAATCTTTAGAATGAATATCTATAGACTAAAGACTATCTGAGATTGAATTGTCGTTTCTGCTGTGGCTTGTTTTATAAGTTCAGTTTCTTGACCGATATTGGCTAATTGCAGGATGGTTGATTTTTCTTAGGAATTCGGTCTGGGCAGTGGTGAAGAAAAAGAAAAACTTTTTTAGCTACCAAGCCTTCGGCAATTTATTGTCGCTTTCCTCAGGGTGCTAATTGTTTCTCGATAAGAAGGCTGGGAACTCTCCAGAATATTTCGTAAAATTAAATATTTCATGAAGCTGTACAAAAAAATGATATGAAATATTCTGAAGGGTTCCCGGCCTTCTTATCAACAATAAATTGCCGAAAGCTTGATGGCTAAAAAGTTTTTCCTTTGCTTCACCACTGCCCAGACCGAATTCCCAAGAAAAATCAACCATCCTACTTCTTTTATAGTTAAATTATGCTGATCCTAGCAGAAACGATACTACGTCTTATTTTATAAGAATAGTCCATATAATTGTACACATGAAATGAAACGTACACATTTTTCCAAATACAAACCAACGTATTAAATGATTTTAAATAAATGTGTTTTGTATATTCATTCAGTGCTCGTATTAAACTTCTGTTTAGTTTTTTTCACAGGGGTTGCAAACTCAAACTCGAAAAACTCGTAACTAAAAGTGCTTAGATAATAGTAGATACACAAAAATAAACAAAATTATTTCCCTTTGATGCTTCGTAAAAATAAGTGGATAAAAATAAAGTTCACGTTAGAAAACTCCATTTCCTTAATTTGATTGATGAAAATTCGGCTTGAATAAATGCCTTTAGAAATGTTATAAAATATCGAAATATTAATTAATAATATGTACTTATATCAAAATAAATATGTGAGATAACTTCTTGAAATCGGGTTTCAATGAAATATTTCAGAAATTACACCTATTTAAAAGATGATTAACGCATGAATAAAAACGAAAACAGACAGCTTATATTTCAACCATTAAGCTACGATTAAAACCAAATATATCATTGAATTAAAGCATGCATACGATGGATATTAGATTTATATTCCCAAAATTCAAAAATAAAAATTCGTTTTCGTATAAGTATTTTTAAGCTTATGCATTACATTTTCAAATATGGATACAAATATTTAGAAACCATTGAAATTTAAAGAGAAAGTAAATTGGATCATGAAAATATGACACATCTTGTTGCACAGGAGCTCTCCATTAATAATCGCCAAACAATCTTCATTAACTTCAGGAATTTAATGAAGAGGAATAACGAGAAGTACATTGAATTATTTCTTGCATGACAGAAAGAAAACAAAATTCTGTTTCAATGATTCGATAAAGCAGCAACATTAATATTAAATATATTTTGATTCAAATTCCTTCAAACAACAAAAACTTCGTAGGCTTACCAGTTTCTGTTGATGAACAAACTTCTTATCGATCTCATTTGGAGACATCAAATCCTTGTATTTACTAAATATGAGATATCTATCTCGCTGAGTAAATCTTTGTCTATTAACCCACAACCAGTTGGTCAGTTTCGGGTCGGTAACGTCCGCGTATACTGGTGACCATGCTGGATTTGGCTTTTGGTTAGCATTTAGTACCATTGGTCGTGCCATTACTGGAATGTAGTGCAGAACTTCTTCGCGCACTTCTGCATATGTGCTCAGATGAACGTAGTAGCCTAAATATAGACGGATTTTCAATATATTATTATACTTTAAAAGTAGTCCACTCGTTTTGCCACGAACTGTATTCTACTCACCTTGATTGGCGCAAGCCATCCACTTAACATCCCTTGGATCGCTCACCTCTCGTCCCACAAGATAGGTAAATAATCTCACAGTTACGACTGGAAGATTGTCCCAATTGTACTTTTCGAAAACATCTTTGTAATTATCTTGTGATCCGTCCGTTATCAACATTATTGCTTGATTACAATTAGCTCCTAGAACAAATTTTCATTTATAGTTTGGTTTTTCTTTTTTTTTTAGCTTAAATAATCCTTACCCAGCTTTGACTCGCGATATTCCGCCAGAATTTCAAAAGCTGTTGCCAGAGCTAATGTAAAATTTGCGATTTGTTCTGTTTTGAAATCGCTCATGCTTTCTTTGAGTATTCGGATGTTGCCTAGATTTGCCTAAAAGTCGACGCAATTTGCTATTTATTTGCAAAACCAACGTCTATTCTCACTGCATATATAAACAATTTGAATTGTATTCTTTGAAGACCGACTTGTGTGAAATGCACGTTGATGGCAGTTTATAAACCTTGCACTTTATTGTTTCAGCGTTTGTTATTAAGTTTACAAAGAAATTTATCTACCTACTATGAAAATATCTTTGCTTTGAATTCCATTTGATTAATGCGGCTAATCTGTCTGTTATGTATTGAAAAACGCAATAAAATAGGTATTTGCATAGGATATTCCGAGTTAACTCAATAGTTTTTGCAATGTTTTGAAATATATTTTGTTACTATTTGTATAAATGTTGTTACAAAACCCTTTAAGTTTGTTGTGTTCACGAGATCAAGTGTGAAAGTAGAAAGGCAAAAAGAAAATAAGCAGTTTATATAATCAACTTATTGATTTCTTCTGTAAAGTCTTCTTTTTTCTTCTGCAGTATTTTTTTCTAAACAAAAATTATCTAGTTTTTCTATTTTCGTGCAGCTTCACTCAAAGAGTTTTGTAAAAATTACATTATGATCTTTTTTTAAAATTAATTAATTAGTAATAAAATGCCTTATTGATATAGTTAAAAGTTCAGATTTAAGCACAATAACGCATTCGAAATTTCATGAATTTGCAACATTTGCATGCATTCAACATGCTTGCCACGAATCTAGTTCTCAAAAGATAAACTAAATAATAATTAAGTTAACTTCTAAAGTCCCTCTAAATATAAACATTCAGTAATTTGATGATTGGTTCGCTAATTATTTGTTTTTTGCTGGCTGATAGATATTAATTGAATATGAGTTTATATGTATGTAAAGTCCAATAAATTAGCTTCAATTCCATTAAAAATATTCGGTCTATAAACTTGAATAAATTACTGTTTATCTAGGAAAGCAGTAGTTAAGGATAGCAAATATCTTTTTGCGAGTAATATAAAGAAGACTAGTCAAATCATTTTTCATTGATAACAGGTAAAGTTTAAAATTTAAAGTTAGAAAGAAGCATGAATTGAAATCACAGAAATTTTAGCAAATATCTAAATACATTCGTTCAAGGTAAAAAATTTTCACTACGTTTCACATATAAATTCTCATTATTGTCGGATGTTTCAAGGTATCATACAGGGTGGCCCAGGTTAAGCGGAATTAATTTTACTGGGGGAACGTGCATACGAAACTCTCATTAAAAAACTTTCCTTGCAGATGTGCTTAGCACAAAAGTAGTGTATTAAAGTTTGGAACAATAAATCGGTATAATTTTTAAACCATTTATTTAATTTCCAGCAACTTTCGTACAAGTCTTTAAGCAACGGAAAGTTTTAGAATTTTGTACACGTAGAACTCTAATAGTAAAAACATGAAAAGAAGGCGTTAATAAAAGTTTTACATTTTTAATCGTTTTTTTTTAAATAAATGATCAAGCCACTTAAACATGTTTTTATTATTTTAAAATCTTTTCTGTGGTTATTGTTTAAATAAAGAAAGAGAGGAGCCTTCCAGTTCACGCTTCACCGATGTACTGTAAAACTATATCAATCATTACATAGCTATCTATTACAGTACTACAGTACGATGTACACAAATTTCGAAAGAAACTGAATCTCCGTTAGGAGACATCTGCGACTAAAATTTTTTTAATTACTACTTTGTTGTTTAATTTTTTTTAATTGCAGTTTATTTTTAATTCTCATATCTATTAGAATTAATGAT